GCACCCCCAGATTGTGTAGTTGAACCTGGGTATAAAATCCACATTTTTGATTTTCATTCTTTTTGTGGTGGTTGTTCTCCTAGAAAGGTGTTAAATAAAGGGTTTTAAACATCTGTGAAACAACTCAATAAAACAAATCACTGAACAAAAAAAGGAGGAGAAATTTCTCTGCAGTTCTAAAAACTAAAATAATATATTTTTAAAATATGGGTCTGGACCAAATATTGCTTGCACATTATAATTACCAACTTGAGAAAACAAGTTAAGGCTTTTGTTTGTCTCTTTTTCATATTCATATTCTAAACTGTGGGATATAATTAACCAATGTCTGAATTTACTAATCCTTCCTCTATAAAGAAGGTTGCGAAGGTAATATGCCTTCATTGAGGGCAGAAGGTCTTCAAATTAGACTTTGCTATTTTTTATCAAACACACACTTTCTATAATTGCTTCCCTAAATACAATGATTTCACCCTCTTCCTAGGCTAATTAAAGCTATGTTTATTCTGGAATGAAATATTTCAGAAGTACTAATACTAATTAAAGTCTTACACTTGGTTGCAACCATCCCTTCTTTATCCAGAATATGACCATGGATAATTTATTGGTTGGCAAGGCTGCCTTTAAGGGATTAATCTGATGATGGATTTGCAAATTTCCACATACTCCTCTCTCTCTCCAAAAATACTGCAAGTATCACAATTCTGGGATACAGAGCACATGTTCAAGCTTGTTGCTTCCAAGAAGTTGGTTGAACTCCTCTTCCTCCTCCTCCTCCTCCTCCCCCTCCTCCTCCTCCTCCTCCCTATTCCTATCATCATTACTGAAATAGATTTAAAAAAAAATGCTTTCCAAGTTCAAACATTGTTCTGATACCATAATATGTTTCAAGATCAAGTGTATAAAAGCATGAATCCTACTCTTCCTACTCTATTTTTGAAATGTGCTTTCCAAAATAAGGAATCTATGGCACATAAAAAACGATAATTTGATGAATACATGAGTCACCAACTGGATTTTTTAACTGGTGTTTTTTTTTTCTCAGATAAAGTATTGAGCTAACCCTTCTGAACTGCTAACCTTTTGTCATTTCAGAGTCTATTACATGTGCATACTAAAGATCATACAGTGCAAGGTAAAATGGAAAGATGTAACTATAAGACCTCTTATCTACCCTACAGAGAAAATCAATCATCATTTAGTAAGTGATTGCTCTATTTATTGCTGCAATCCAAGCACAAGCCACTCCAGAAGTGTATTAGAAAAGGAGTCATGGCATTGAATCCCAAGAGGAGTCCTTGAATAATTTTCTATCGTGAAATGGGATAAAAATACCATTTTGTGATGACAGACTCCAATAAATCATGTTCATGTGTTCACTTCCTCATATTACTAAAGAAACAACCATATTCAGAATGCAGATTATTTATCCTAAATTAAAACTTTTGAATTCATGCTTAGAATTTATACTTTTGCCTGCTGTTTTCCATATTTTCTATGACAGAGTCATTCAAGCAAGTGAAGCAATTTGTGACCTCAATACCATTCTTGGATCTCCCAATGCCTTTCCAGGCCATAACTGCCAAACACTGATGGTAATTTTGAAGTGAAAAGTCCATGAAAGCAGTAGTCTAAATCTTTAAGTAGATTTCGAACAGCTTGAAACAATGGTCATATATGGGCAATTCCATTCTATACCATAAAATGGATGTATCTGCATTTGCGAAGCAACAGAGGTAGAAAACTTGGCTCACACACTATTTGATTGTTGTTTGCATAAGAAGGTAAGAGACAGGTACCTTGGTTCATATGAATGACCCACTGGGAGCCATATTAAAACAATATAACTTATGTCAGTACATTCATGAACTGGAATAGAGCTTGGTAACAAAGTCAGCCAATGAATACGCATAGCAACTAAATCAGCCAATGAGAACAGTTTGGAAACTGAAACTAGAAGTAGCTTAGGCTGGAAACTGAAACTAAAAGTAGCATAAGCATGAAGCTATATTAAGCTCTGCAACTCTGCAACTATGTTGAGTTCTGAGTCTGTCTATTGAAGATGAAACTTGCTTGCTTGCTGAAGACTGGAGTTCTTCTCTGAACTTGCAATGTGTTTCTGTTTGAGTTTGCTCCATGTTGGAGAAATCTACAGTTGGTTTATAAAATCTACTTATGTTTATAAAGATGTTAAATGAAGCATCAGCCGTCTGTGTTTATTTTTCTGGTGCTGAACTATCGCTGCAAAACTCTCAATAACTTATGTGCAGCCAGAATTTGAAAACAACATTTAATATAGCACAGTACTTGAGTAAAATGGTTTGATTGAGATTGGCTTATGTGGGACTGATAGGGGTATACTGTAAGGGTGATACTGAAATATAATTTTATCTTACTTCACTTATCCATATATCAAATTATTGTATTTTACTCCAATTTCATTTTAAATTCCTTTTACAGGTTTAATACCATAAAACGAAACAAATCCTTTCTTAGAAACTAAAGAATGGAAATTATAATATCAAGTGCTGAGGCCTTATTCATTTTGCATGATTGCTCTCTCTCCCCGTAAATCTCATCAAAAAATAATTATGTCCTCAGCCTTTGGGTTGCCCATCATTTATTTTATTATCAGCCATAATTTACAAGGCAAGGTAAACATCATCTGTGTAGTATGTTTATCTTGGAATGTTATTTCTATTTTTAAGGGCCAAAATTTCAAGCTAGAAATGATCTTCCATAAATGTTTGGATGAATAAGATTAGAAGCAGGCTCCCTATTACAAAGCATTTTCTGAATATGTTAATCGAAATGAACATTTCTCTTCAAACTAAAAATATAAAGACTAAGGTTGATATTGCCAGTGGTTGGGTTGGGAGATATAGATTAAAGAGTTACAGAATTGGAAGAGATCACTAAATGAGTCCAAATATTTGCTCAGTCCAGGAATTCAAATTAAAGCATCAATGGCTGCCTATCTTTAGCTTTAACATATCTAATTGGAAAAAAAATGCACACATTGGGTTCACACCTTTCATTTAATGTTAATTTACATCCTGTAACTTAAAATCATTGCTCCATTTCTTGAACAACAGGTCTTTCTTTTTGAGATAACCATTCTACTCTTTGGAAATATATCATTTTCCCCAGCAATCATTTCTCATGGATTTATCTAATTTCCTTAGTCTGCCCTTCTTAAACTAAATTTTCTTAGTTCATTCTTGCTACCCATCTCTTCATTGGTCAGTTTATTTAAGTCTTTCTTAAAATGTGGTGCACAGAGCTGGACACTATAACTGATATGGAATCTGGCCAAAGCAAAATAAAGTGGAAATACTATTTTCCGGGATTCAGAAATCACAGTAAAATTGCATTTGCTTCCCCCCCCAGCAATATTACATTGTTTGTAACCAACCACTATTCCAAAATATGTATCACAAATACATTTCATTATCTGATCAAGGCAGCCCTTTCTCCCACCCCCCACGAAAAAAGTACCTGTTCCTTTAAATTTTTCTCCCTAAGTGAAAACACTTTGCATTGGTGTATATTAAATTTCACATGTTTATTTTCAGCTAATTTCTCTAATTTATAAAGCTTAAACTAGTTTTTCTTTCTATGTTCTATTTAGCCACCCCACCCAGTTTCTTATGAACTGCAAATATGATAACATTTCCTCTACTATTCATCTGGATTATTCATGACAACAGGGCAGTATGGTGACTCAGTGGGCTTGGGTGGGATCCTACCGGTTCGGTCTATAGAACTTGTAGCTGTGAAGAGCAGCTGACACCGAACCAGTTCAGTGTTTGCCCACCCGCCTGCCTGGGCTCTAGGTTGTCCTTTATTTCCTGCTTTTCTCTCCTCAGCTGCTTTGCGTGGCACAGCTGAGGTTGAAAAAGCAGGAAACAAGAGGATTTTCAAATGCTGCACACCTGAACACAGTGCTTGTCAGCTGTCCAGGAGGCACAGCTGATGATTTCTTGTAAATTCCGCACACACAATTGTCCACAGTTCGGAGAACCAGCAAATTGCTCCACTCACTCCTTACCTGGCATGCGAGCCATCCAACTTGCCTGGTTTGGTAACCTGCTATTTTTCCTTTCCCCCCCCCCCCCAATCATCAGCTGTTCTGCTCTGCCAGGAGATTTAGATTAGCTAGAAAGCAAGAAATCCTTGTATTTCTTGCTTTCTAGCTAATCTAAAAGCAGAGCCGAACCTTCCTTAGGACTGAAGCTTTTCAGTGCAGACTTAGGTAGACAATTGCAGATAGAAAGATCTCTAAATCAATCTGTGATTCTATGAGCAATTCAATCTGTCTGCCTGCTTTGCCTGCTTTTGGCTAAAAGTTGCTCTTTTTGATATAAAAAAATCAGTATTTACATACATGGTGTGTTGTGAATTAATTTTGTGAGTTTGCTTGCAAGCAAATTTTATGTGAAAGACTCAGATAGTCAATTGCAGATAAATAGATCTCTAAATGAATCTGTGATTCTGTGAGCAACCTGCCTGCTTTGACTAATTTTGGGTAAAAGTTGTCCTTTTAATTAAAAAAAAAAAACATAAATATTTATAATATTTACATACAAACCCTGCCTTCCCAGTCACATGACCACCAACACCACCACACCCAAATTCAGCCACACCCACAGAACCGGTTGTTAAGAAATTTGAATCCCACCCCTGAGTGGGCTTGTTGGCTGGAAAGCTGGCAGCCAACATTTGAGACCCAAGCTCCACACGACAAGGTGAGCTCCTGTCTCTCCCTAACTCCTGCGAACATAGCATTTCAAAAGCATGCAAATACAAGTAGATAATTAGGTATTACTACAGTGGCAAGGTAACAGTGAGCCTTAATCTGCCACTGGCTGGCTCAATGGAGATGGAGATAAGGTCAGCCCCCTATAATCATCAACAACTAGCAGATTAAAATCTGCAGGGACTCCTTTATCTTTATTCATGAAATTGGTGAAAATATGATGAAAATATACTTCACTTACCTGATCTTGTTGGAACCACTTCAGTTGTATTTCTAAGTCCAATAAATGAGAACTGATAGAGCCTCCAGGATCTTGTATCCCCCACTTCCACTGAACTGCGTTTCCACATATAGATTATTTCCTCCTTTGGGTAGCCATCTTCAAACCAAGGGAATCAGGATTACATCAATATATTTTTATGTGTTTGTGCTTCCTTATTTACAAACTAGTACTTTCCTATTTATGTGTGGATCTCAGTGATACTACAGATGCGCTTGTATAGCTTTCAGCCATTTTGTCACACAATACTTATTGAATTCATCTAAAACCCAAAGCAACAAAAACTTCAGAAAAGGATTTTACAGTTACAAACCATTATGGAAAAAGCATGACTATGTCAAATGTCTGACAGTTTCCAATATATCAAATTGAAAACATTCTTTTTTCTTAAAGGAAACTTCATTCACTACTCATCCCCAACCCTCATAATGGCTTTTTAAAAGTGAAGGATTTTACCAGGAATATGTACGCTAATGTTCATGCTCTTCTGTAAAGATGAATTTCTCTGCTAGATATCTGAGAGAACCACTATTAAATTAAATAACAAAAAACATAAAATGTGCACTTGTGTATGCTTTATTCTGCAGATATTATGTGCTGTGGACCCTCCAATGGATTTGGCAGTGAGGATTTCTAGATGCCATTCCCCAGTTAGCTGTGAATTTTAATGAGTCATTACCCCTGTTCAATTCACTTCGCTGACATACATGGCAGTAAAATAGGAGGAACCCAAGCCTTGCTTAAGACATTTTACTTTTGAACAAAAGGCATACGAAACCTTTAGCATTAATCATGTTTGGAGAAAGCAGATGAGTTTAGAGAATGGAGGGCAATGGCTACATAAACCTCTGTCATTTGAGACAATCTCTTCATTCCATTCAATCCATTGAATGGTAAAGTTAACTCTATTTAACTATTCCTGAGCTTAAAGGAAGGTTGGGACAGATGTGATGAATTTATAAACATGTGAGATTTGAATTAGCTTATTTTTTGGCAGCAATGTTTCTCCTTAGTTGGAGTTCAACAGTACTTGGTAGTCTCATATTTATTTAATTATATAGCTATTGTTTGGAAACATTCTAGTGACTTATAGAAAAATGCCCTAAATTTTTCATAAAAATCATGAGCAATGGATAATGTGTGTTCATCTGAACAGTAATTTTATTATTGATTGTTGTTATACATTGACACAAAAACATACTATGTATTACATTGTCAGCTTTATCTGATTATTGTGATATTAAGCTTTTTGTTTTTATTATTATTACTATTTTCCTCTTTCATAAGGATAATCTCATTGTTGACTACTTACAGCTTGAAAATGCTAGGGGACAAGAGTGTTCATCCATTGGGAAATTGTGTAACTGTAATTGACACTCTGCATCTATTGTCAGTCTGAAAATAAACAAAGGCAGATGTTATTTCTATTTGTATTATTCTCAGCCTACCAATCCTTACTGTAACTATGACAATAGTCAATATGTGTTCATGCACAATACTTTTTCTCTGCTAAAACCCTGAGAAGTGTTCCTTGAGTACATAAAATATTCTTACAGTCTTTGTTCTTTGTAGACTACTTCTTCACCTTCATTTTCTATAATTCTGAATCATCTGGATCAGAAATTTGTCCCAACTTTATTTTTATATTAGTTTGAGAATGGGTAAAAAGAAGCTTGAAAATCCATATGCATTTTTGTATGCAGTTCTCTTAATACAACTTGTCTTAATATATGCAATTTTTAATAAAAGAGAATGTATGTAACTCAGGGCTGAACTGTGGAATCCTTGGTGCCCTCTGAGCTTGGTTGTTTGCTTACAGAGATTTCATTACCTAAACAGGTAACCTCATCAGTGCCATATACTTTTTAAAAAATTGTTATGTGATACATATATATGCATCATACATACTGTGTATACATTTTATATGATTTTTTTTGCAAGTAATCGTCCATATTCTTATATTCTAACCATTTCACTACACAATTTCAGTACAAAAGAATTAAACCATGAATAACATTAATTCCTCCATTATCATTCCTTCCTTCCAATGTTCCTTTTAATATATTTTGATTACTATATGGTGCACCTATCATTCTTTCTTGTACTATCTTTGTTATTCCATAATGGATGAAGGCTTCTATATATTTACTTGAGAGTAAAGACTTTTTAACTCAGTGTAATAACTTCTGCACAGTCACAATTGGGATTTTACTATGAACTGTTCACCAGCAGGAACATGTCCTGCCTATCTAGGCTCTTTAGGTGTATAAATCATGCTTGTCTTCTTCATCTCCATGACTTTTGAAACTTACTGTTAAATTGGCTATCTTTCAGAGCTAACATGGCAAACGTGGTTCTTATAGTGGGCTTCCAAGGAAATATCATGAAGGTCATGATAATCAACTTATTTCTAGGCAAGAATCAACTGAATAATTACTGCACAACATTGTGTTCTGTCTCACTTTTCTTCTTTCCCAAAAGATGAAAGAATACCAACTCACACAAACACAGGCAGGCAAGCTGGCTCAGACTTCACAGAGTTAATTCTTTGGAACTGATAATATCCTTGGTATTCCAAGATCCTGAGATTAATCAGGAGAAAGGCATATCGGAGCAGCCCCTGACAGGGAGTAAAGAGGAAGAGTGTTGGCTTGATCCTAAGCAGCGTCGTAGTGAGAAATGTGAGCAGCAACATAGGAGGCGTGGGAGGGTCAGAGAGTGAGCTGAGTCATTGAGCCAAGTCTGAACTGATAACAAATAAAAATCTACTCACAGAAAATTACAAGGCAGTCCACAAAAATCATTCATGAAGAAAATCTGAAGTAAGATTAAATTTTGTCCCGTACAAAGTTCCAGCTGAAAACACACCCACTTTTATCCCCTGTGGGGTGTGGCTCAATAACTCAGCTCACTCTCTGACCCTCCCATGCCTCCTACATTGCTGCTCACGTTTCTCCCTATGATGCTGCTTACGATGAAGCCAACACTCTTCCTCTTTACTCCCTGTCAGGGGCTGCTCCGATATGCCTTCCTCCTGATTAATCTCAGGCTGTTCCTCTTGGTTGTCTGATAAAACCTGAGGCATTATCAAGGAGGAAGGCATTGCCAGGGGAGAAAGGCATTCCCAGTTCCTCCTCCTCATCGTCCAGGTCTTCTTCCTCTGACAGCATAGGCTCGGGAATTGGGGCCACAACACATTGTAACAGCTATGTTAAACTGTATTCCTGTATTTACTTCTTATAAATCTTTTAGGTCTGTGAGTCTGTACTACTCTGCAGATATACAGGAATTGGCAATATTTGCTATTTGGAACAATTACAACTATTCCCATCCAAAACCTCAGACATTTTGATTTTTTTTTATAAGGTTGTTACCATTGAGATTACTTTTTTGTTTACAGTGCTGCAAGCAGCCTTCAAATAGCTGCAGATCATGTGCTCTTTAGTTTCCTGTCAAGCAATGAGAGAAAGGAGATGGGCACATACCAATGCTGCAGAGAAACTCTATTTAAAATGCACATTTTATTCTACTGGTAGTTGTTTGCATACTAAGATAAGAGAATTGGAGGGGGGGAGCTAGAGAGGAGGAAATGCTTTCAGGACTTGTTCACTCGTATCTTTTTATTAGATGGCAGTGCATTGGTTGACATCATTTTATTCTCCTTAAAATGCTGTGGGACCAGTTTGAGAGATAGCAAATGCTTTACTTCATGCTCTGATCCTTAGGTTCTAACTATTCTATCATTTTAGTTCTGCTCAAGCGACAAAAATGCTCATTTAATTTTGGCTGAAATATTTAAGACATTGGATAGTCACTATGTATGATGCCTTCTTTATTCACATGGACACAACCAATAAGCACTGAGCACTTGGAAATAATGCAATTAACGATGAAAATACCTGAGGGTGTAGAGAACCCTGCCATCATTCCAGATCCTGAGCATTCGATTGGGTGTTGTTATCCAGTGTGCATCTGCTTTTTTTGAGTTTCGAAAGAATGTATCAGGAATCCAGATCTTCCCCACCATGTTGCTATTCAATCTCAGAACTTTTATGGTGCTGTTGAATCTTAGTCGTCTATCATACCAGGTTTGGGCAAAAAATATATCAATTGTATATTCCTGCAGTAATAACAGAATGTGTTAAGGGAAAACCTGCAAGATCTCAGTACAAAGTATTTATGACCTTCTAATCCAACCTTTTGCTCAAGCATGAGATCCTATCCCAATCTAGACAAAATGGCTGTCCAAACTCTCAGTGATGCAGTGCCTACAATTTCTGGAGGCAAGTTATTTCACTAATAAATTGTTCTGACAGGAAATGTCTCCTTTATTTTAAGTTGGATCTCTCCTTGATAAGTTTCCATCTGTTACTTCTTGTCCTGCCTTCAAGTGCTTTAGTTGAGTCCCTCTTCTTTATGACAATATCGGAAGACTGCTATCATGTCAACTCTAGTCTTTTTTGTTTGTTTGTTAGACATTCTCAGTTCCTGCAACTATTCTTCATATATTTTAGCCTCCAATCTCCCTATCATCTTTATTGCTCTATCTATTCAACTAGCAAGTGTACTCTTATCTAACTTTACAGAACCAGTCAAATTTCATCTTGCTTTTAACCAAGTTGATCACAGAACAGAATCGATTAAAGGACATTTTATTTCCACCAATGGAATTGCCCACACTTCCCACTCAGTCGCCAAAACAGCAAACTCGAGAAACAGGCAAGAAAGATAATTTCTGCTCCTTCTTTTTCTATAAATGTGTCTAAGGCAGTAGCATGTTGATATATATTATTTATATGTAGTAATGATCAGAATTCACTGATGACAAACAGTCTTCAATAAACTCTGACAAAAATCAATGAAGAACTATTACATACCATATTGATAGCATTCACGGGGCCAATGCTATTGACATACATATCAGTGTGAATTATTGTTGGTTGCACTGTAACAGAAACAATAAGGGTAAAACTGTAAATTAAACACAATTCCAACAATAATTAATGATTGTTAGCCATTCAAATTAATAAAGTAATGAAGCAGCCAACACTCCAATGAATGTTTAAAAAAATCTGTATTACTTCAATTAAAGAAAAGAAAATATAAACAATAATAAGAAAGGACTGCCTTTCAAACAGGACTGACCTTTCTCATCATCCTGAAATTACAACATTCGGAATTTGTTCTAAATACTTAAATTTAAAATTAGATGAAAGCCCTTGAGAAATGCAATGGTTTTGGAATATAAGATTGACAGAAGAATTTTTTTCCATGTAAACAATGACATTTCTTGATAATAAAAGGTTGGCAATTTGATAATAAAAGTTGATAATTTATAAAATTATATCATAATGTTTAATTTATACATGGACTTATAATTAGTATATTTATAATTCTTACTGATATATTTTTAACTTATAAATGTGATAATTTTGTAATAAAATTGGTAATTTAGTCCTGATTGCTTTTTTCAAACAACTGACAACATAAGTGAAACAACCAGATATCCCTCTCGATAAACATGGTCAAAATAAAAGTATTTGAAGGCAGTTTTCTCTTATTTAACTTTTAATACTGTCAGTATGATACATGGTTAGATACATTTAATGATTTACTAGTTAAGAGGCACTCACTGTAATTCTAAGCTCACCAGTTAGACTTCTGTTCACAACTCAGATTTAACAAGCTTGGGCCCAGTGTCATACTGAATTAAATAGCAAATGTATATATAAAATGCTGAGACTAATTTAATCCATAAACCTCAATTATGCACTTGGAGTTCAGTTAATAAAGAATCAATAGAAGTTAATTCCTCCTTAGATGTTCTAAATTCTACTATTTTCAAAACCATTACAACTAAGAAAAAAACTTTATTTCCTCCTTCTCTATCAAAACAAGCTGTCTAGGCAGAACATCCAAAGTAGCTATCTGCTTGTGTTTGCAAAGTCTTATTGCTATAAGATACAACTGGCCTTTCTTTCCCCTCTGCCTGAAAAGTCAGCTTGTCTAGGCCAGGGGTCAACAACCCACGGCTCTGGAGCTGCATGTGGCTCTTTCTGCTATGGCTCCCTGTCACTGATCAGAAAAGGAAAGGACTCCATGCTAGGAGGAGACTCTATGGTGGGGTAACCAGACTTGTGGTCGGCAGAGGAAAAAGGACACCACACTAGGAGGAGATTCTATGGTAGGGGAACCAGACTTCTGATCACCAGAGAAAAATGGATGCCATGCTAGGAGGTTACTAGACAAATATACCACAGTAGTTACAAATCATTCTTCGTACAAATATCAACATTCATATTGCTTAAAAGAATATTAAATGAAACATTATTGTGTTCAAAAAACATAATTCCATGTTTTTTTAAAAGGAAAGAAGAGAAAATACAAAGTTGAAACATGTGAGATATATTTTTCTATCAGCAAATACAATATTAATATTGTAACATGTAAATTAGTTTCTGCACTAAATGAGTGGGATTTTCATCCACATTATTGCATAATTAATTAGAATCAGAATTAATAATTATAAATAATCATAGTGCATTATTAATTAGACTAAAATCTAATATGTCTGGGTGGGATGGATTTTCATCCCATTTGTATTATTGCATAATTAATTAGAAATAATAATTTTAAGTAATAATCCTGGTGTACCATTAATCAATCTAAAATATATTATGTCAGGATTTATATTTGATTGGTAATAGCTAGAGTTCAACATAAGATTGGTGGCTATATGAATGTTTTAATCAAATAAATAAATATTAAAATATAATATTTTGTTTCTATAATCTTTTTTAATCAATCACATTGTTTATTAACTTTCACAAAAGGATTTCAGTTTTGATTCACATGTAAGTCTCTCCTAAAAAAAATGTGATACTGGAATATTCCATTCTCTGCTGCTCTCATTAACACAGCATGACTGTCCCACTGATAGCAAGGAAAAGAGAAACCATCAGGAGAAACAGCCACCTCATATCTACCAATACTTCCCTACTGGAACACTACATGGCATCTTTCTGCTAAACATGAACAAACAAGTCTCAATTTTTCAGTTCTGGACAGCTGTCAATCTATTTTCTTATCGTCAAGTGGCTTTTTTTAAAACCTGGAATGGATTTTCTATAAAAAATGTGAAGACAGGAATTTTCTCCTCTAGTCACAGCGATCACCACTTCTTGCCACTGAATTAAGATAACTCAGTCACAAATAAAATGTCTTCTTTGATCAATCCCTCATTTTTTTTCAATACATCATCTCATATTGTAGTTCTGGCTCTTTAGTCTTCATTATTCTCACCCACGTCCTGAATCCATGTTTATCATAATCCCATCATTACAATGAATTATTCATTTAATGGAATAATTTAAATTAAATAATTACATAGATCCTGCTTTACCAAAGCAGAAATCCTGATTTGAGAGCTGATTCTTCTAGTAGTTACCCAGGCAGCTTCATTTTCAGCTCTTATTGTAAAAAAAAAAAAAAAAAAAAACCCTGCTCCCCAACCTTCTACTAGCAAGGCTTTAAAAGACAACTTCTCTCCTAGTGACATCCAATAAGATAAAAAAAAAACCTCTCTTGTGACTTTTTACAATTTTTTGTTATATCATTAGGAAACTGTCCAGAACCATATAACACAGATACAATAATAACATTAAGCAACATTAAGGTATTCATCTCAATCAGAATGAATCTCAGTGTCTACAATGAACATGTGTCCTGAACTGAAGCTTCTTATAGAGTATATAAGCCTCCTTATAGGCACCATCCATTTCAAAAGCACAATAAATGTTTAAGTAGCCCAGCTCTTTCCCCTCTCTTGGCAAAATAACACACTACAATTGACTGCATGAGTCCCAGGGTAGAAGTTTTCTCATTCTTCTCCTGGCTCCTTTCTTCTGGGCTAGAATACCAAACCACTTCTTTCAGCTTCTTCTCCTTTTGTCTATCCAAACCAGTTTATCCTATCCAATGTGCCATCAAACTAGCACTGACTCCTAGAAACTAGTCTCATCCTTTGGGTCTTCCACTAGTACACTCATTGGTGTTATAATTATCTGTCCACCTTGCTTTTGATTGTCTTCTTTTTCTTCCTATCTTTCTTAGTATTATGAATGTCTCCAGAGAGGTAGATCTTCACATAATGTCTCTGAATTAGGATAATTTCAGGTTGGTCATTTGTGCGAAGTATGAAGTCTGGATTGATATGTTCAATAATCTGTTTGTTTGTTTTCTTGGCTATCCTCGATACTCACAGGAGTCTTTTCCAACACCAGAGTTCAAAGTGCTAACACTCTTCCGAAACTGCTTCTTCCAAATCCAACTTTAATTTCTACAGACTGTCACAGGAAAAACAATTTCCTGCATGATTGCGATTTTTTTATGCATAGACACAGTCTGGCATCTTAATGTCCTTTCCACAGTTTTCTACTCTATGGGGTGCCAATCTTGGTGGATGGTTGGCTTTATTTTTGATCATAAAAGGCAGAAGTTACCTACTACTTCATTTTCTTCATTGTCAAATCTAAGATTGTACCTGTTGTCACAAATCTGATCTTTATAGTTAATTTTAGTGTCATACATTGTGCTCTTTTGACTTTTATCATTGACAAGTTATTGGAGGAGCTATTTATTTATTTATACATAGATAGATAAGGGGACTTGGTGTCTCAGTGTCTAAGATGCTGAGCTTGTTGATCAGAAAGGTTGGTAGTTCAGCTGTTCGAATCCCTCATGCCATGTAGCAGAGTGAGCTCCTGATATTTGCCCCAGTTTCTGCCAACCTAGCAGTTTGAAAGCATATAAAAATGCAAGTAGAAAAATAGGAACCACCTTGGTGGGAAGGCAACAGTATTCCATACACCTTCAGAATTTAGTCATACCGGCCACATGACCACGGAATCATCATCAGACAGTGCTGGCTTTTTGGCTTAGAAATGGAACACCACCCCCTAGAGTCAGGAACAACCAGCAGGTATGCGCAAGAGGAACGTTTATTTTACATAGATAGATAAATACAATTTCTATAGCCTCCCATTTTACAGCAATGATTCTAGTTGGTGCACAATAAAATATAACAAATATACACACAAATAGTTAAAACCTCTGGCTTTTCTTTCTCTACTGCTAACTCACTTGAAACTATTTCAACATCCTTACTCCTGCTGCAAATTCTTCTTGTTACCTTTAGAGAGTTGACCTCCAGAAGGGCATCATGCTGCAGAAAGAAGTACTGTTTTTTTAACCACATATTCATAAATAGATTTTCTACAAAAAAAGGCTCTTGCATCCTAATAGGATGAAGAAATGCCAGCTTTATTGCAGCCACTGAGCTGTAGTTAGTTCAGGTCATGTTTGCCAGGGACCAGCAATAATGCAAGGCTCTGCAAAAAGCAGAATTAGATGTAAAAGACTTTCTACATTATTGCAGCTTATACAATAATGTGAAAGACACTGAGATACTGGCAGTGTTGAAGTAAATTCATCTGCCAATCACACTGGTTTTGAACATGAAATGGGAGAAAGTGAAACCCTTGTTAATTGCTTGGCAGCCAAAGATCCTAGCTTACCCCATTCTCATGTGTTTTGCATTGACTAATGGTTGTTTAGGATAATACATTAGTTAATAATGGTTAATAATCATTTCCTAGCTTTTTTCTGTTACTTACATCTTTTGGGAACAGATTATTATAACAGTTCCTGTTTATCATCTGAGAAGCACCTTACCCTGTTCTTGGTGACTTTTCTGAAAAATATGTTTGTTATGACCATGTTATTGGCTTCCCAAGGCTGTCAGGACAAATAGACAATGCTAGCACATTGTTTCTTGACAACTTTAGAATAGATATTTGTTTATTTGGTTTTTTTTTAATAAAACTGACTTCATTTTAAAGCTGTGGTGGCAGAGTGGTTAGAATGCAGTACTGCA